CGAGGAAAGGGGCAGAGCCATTTTGGCTTAGTGGAAAGAACAGGAGATTTGTGGTCAGAGGACCTGGATTTCAATACTAACTCTGCTACCTACTACTGGAGGGATGTTAAGCAAGTCAAGTAACCTCGCCTGGCCTCAGTTTCTTCATCTATAAAATGAAGGATTTGGAATAGATGATCCTTACAGCTCTAAATCTCTGATCCTGGATCCTATCTGACTCAGGGAACTTTAATTTCTGTTCCTTCAAACTTCCCCTAAAAATAACACAACTACTATTTCTGCAAGGTTAACACCCATTACATCAAAAGTGAATGTTACAAAATTATAAAGAGTAGGCATGGCCCCAAAGAAGAAAAATGAGAAAACAGTCCCATCTCACTCCTTTGCAGAGGTGGGAGATCTATGATATGGTAGATTGCATATGTTTTCTAACTTTTTCAATGCATTGATCAATTTTGCTGATTTTTTTTTCTCTTCTTCCTCTTTTTAAAAAAAATACATTTTATGTGATATGACTCTCTGAAAGTGAAAAGGTCCAGGAATACTGGGAGGAATTCTGGTGATATGAAAAAACAATGAGATCAATAAAAATATATTTAAAGAAAAACACCCCTTCCTTGCCACCCAACTCCTTCCTCAGCACTTGGACAGAGATGTGTTCAGCATTTGCATTGTTATGGCTAGCCTGGACCAATCCAGGGCCTCGGTGTTAACTCCAATTTTCCTGTGCTAATGGGCAGCAGAGTCACAGTTCTTCTCATGCTTATAAGTGGGCTCAAGCTTAGATTTTTAAAAGCCTCCAAATTGTATTATCCAAACAATGACTGATGCCAGAATGACACGTATGGGATAATACAGACATAAGAAAATCTTTTCAGTGGCTTTCCCCAGAATGATCTGCACCTAAGCTGTCTTGAAAACAAGTGGAACAAGGCATATCTTTGTTTTTGCTTTAATATACTTATTTGTTACAAGTGAGGGCACTCGGATGGGTGTTGGGGGAGGAGTGATAGGAACATTTAGATCAGTGATAGTGATATCCCCTGCCCCCCCCAAAAAAAAAGAAAAGAAAGAGATGAACATTAATTAAGCATTTAAAAAAAAACTATGAAGAGGGCAGAAAGAAGTGGATGTAAACAAGGTAGTGTTGGAGTTATTATGTTAAATTTAATACATACTCTTTAAAAAAAAAAACAGCTGTATGTTATAGAGTTTTGCATCACAGACAGTCCTCTTTTCCTGTTCTTTGTATAAGAAAATGCTCATGTTTGTTGATGTATGTCAAGTTCATAATTGAAAAAAGAAAAACAAGTGGAATAAAGAGAGGACTCACAATAGAAGGGGCTCAATTGAAGGAGTAATGGGATAGGGAGGGAAAGAAGTAAGGACAAGCAATATCTTTTCACACACAAACACACACACACAGAGACAGACAGAGAGGGAGAAGGACAGACTGAGACAGACAGACAGTCAGACATAAACAAAGATAGGGAGAGAGACAGACAGACAGTGAGACAAGCAGAGACGGATGGACAGACATAAACAGACAAAGATAGGGAGAGAGACAGACAGACAGTGAGACAGAGACAGACAGACAGACAGACAGAGATGCCAGGATTACATGGTGAGAAGAAGGAGATTCCAGAGGAAAGACATATGTGGGAAGGTCAGAGACATGGCAGTGCCAAGGGTGCCCAGATTCTTTTTACAATTAGATTATGTAAAAGAAAGAGAGGTGAATATATAGCCTGCCATCTGTTCAAAGGCTTACAACCTTGCTTTTATTGTTCGGGTAACTTGGTGAGGTGGGGCATCAGAGGGATTCCAAACATACCATCCTAGAGAAATTTTAATATGTTCCACACTGTCATACATAAAAAGGAAATAACAGCTGATCATGTCTAGGATTGTCAAGAGTAAGCCCCCCACATCCCTATTTCCCCTTTCCCTTATATGTACCGACCCTCCTCTATCCCCCAATGTAGGCAGTTTTAGGGAAATGATGCAAGCTCACTGCCATGGGGAGAAATGGGGGGGGGCAGCTGGTTAACAGCATATCTAGGTCTGGTCTAGGAATTGTTATGAGTCAGGCCCCTTGGGAAGTTATAAGCATTTTAAACCCACTGAAATTGATTATCTCCTGATAAGCACCAATTCAGTGGACCCTGGTGATTCTCTGTTTTGGGATGCTTACAAATAACCTAATCAGCTACAGAAAACATAAGATGAGATGAAATGAGTTGATTTGAAAGCAGCACTGTGTGTGGCTCTAAGGGAGACCTGGGTTTTGGGAACAACCTCCAGCTTCCAATTCCCAGGGACCTTTTGAATTCAGGCCAGGCCCAGAGGTCATATGTTTTGACCTTGGGGGTGGGACTGGTGGTGGGAGATAGTAACTGCATCTCCCTCCATGAATGATGCTAGTTGAATGATTCATCTAGTGCCACTGATGTCAGCCCCAGAGAAGGTGACTCATATCCATCCCAGATAGAGAAAGAGTGTGGTTGTTTTCAAGATCTTGGCGGGGGTAGGAGGGGTGGGTGAGGGTGGGAAGAGAAAAAGGGCAAGTTGGCATTCTCCCAGATTTCTTTCAACCTTTCTGAAAACTTCTGGGCTAGATTATTTGTGAAAATGATGAGTACCCCAGAATAAAATGATAGGTGTCAGAAGGGAAAGAACTCCAGCACTACAGGTAAGAAGAAAAGATAACTACCAGGTTAGAGTGATTAGGAATCTCCATATGCATAGGAACATGGCTTATGAGGTATTGCTCAATAGTCGATTTCCAAGGGTCATCTCCTTATCATAGAGCAAAAATCTAACTGGTGCCATTACAGAAAGGAAAATAGAGTTGTAATGTTTTAAGGCAGTTATAAGCATCTAAACGTCTCTGGAAATACCCTTGGTGAAAATATTCAGCAAAATACAGTGAATGCACTCAGTGAAAGTTGTCACATTTTTCAGGAGATCAGGTGACTGAATGAGTCGGAAACTGTTAAGTATTATTGAAAATTGCCTTATGGGCTCTTGGCAGTGACTTTTAAACTTGAATTACAAATGAGAGTTATACAGGCATGTTTCCATCTCTGAATATATTACATATCTCATACTCATGGATTTAAGCCTCTGCCTATGCATTTTACCTGTATTGATAGTATTTCTGAGCAAATCATGCAAAATTGACCTGGATGAAGGTTTCACAAAATTAGTCATAGTTAGTTAAATGTTATAGTCAATAATGATTTTTTTTGTTTGTTTTTGGTTAAGAATCATCATGCAATCTTAAGTCAATGGAATTCATGATTTCTTTTATGGTGATTCTATAATATTGATTATCTTCTTCCTACATCCCCAATGTCCCAAGGTACTTGTATCAAAAGCCAGATGTGTATTTCAATATATTTGTTCAGGAAGTTATCAGAGAAATAGAAATTTTCCCAATAAGCCTATTTTTTTTAAATGACAAGAAGTTAGCATCCCTCTAAAACATGCATTTAGCCTTCTTTCTAGGCTCTGTACTTCTGATGCAGGAGATCATTTTAACATGTAAGATAGGAGTTACCTCAATCATCTGGTATTTAAAAGCTGATTTCAGTGGTCTCTGCAGAAGCTCTGTATCAACATGTAGTGTACTTTAATGACAACCATATATTGTGCATATTTTGGGTAGTTACAGATTTATAAATGCAGCTGGTATTCCATACACATCCATCAGAGCAATTCATCACTATTGGATTCCTTTTTGTCATTCAAACAATGTAATGTTATAAATGAAAACAAAAATAAACAATTTAACTAATCCTTCTAATTATGAAGGATGAAATCTCCTAAATTCCAGTCTTACTGAGTGACTCTTTCACTTACCTGAGTTTTAGTAACATAGGGACCTGTCTTTTTAAATTAAGTTTTACTGCAGTTCACTCACTACAATGAGCTCCAGTTCCGCTGTACTCTGACACATTAACATTCTGTTCACAGTCAAACACTTCTTTTTACCCAAACAAGAAAAGAGTTACACTCATGCTTCCTACAGCGAGAATCCCATTTAAAGAGAGAATTTTTCTACTGGAAAACAATGCTTTCAGGAAATTGAAAAAAATATATACCCTCATATTCCCAAGAAAGTGTTTTGGAGTTTTCCCTTAGCATTTCTGACCCTGTTGCTGGGTCTCAGCATCCTTGCACAGCTATTCCTTGGATCTCCCCATTGTGTTAATTGTCACCCCTCCGGGGTAAGCTGACTACTAAATATAACCAAAGCTCAGGGATCTAGCCAAGACCAGCGCTGGGGATTTCCTCGGTGTTTTTATGCAATTGGAACTATACATTAATCCATACCTAACGTTAGCGAGTGCTGTGCTCTTCTTAGTAAAATATCCCAAATCAGAATCAGTAAATGTGCAGATTTCTAGTGTTCCTACAAAGCATGACACACAAAGCTAGAAATAAATATTGCCTATTGTTTGAAATTATTCTAAGCACTCCAGCAGATGACTGGCAAGAGATCAGCAGCATACATAAGTAGCAATAAAAGTAAACAGCTCTCTTAAACTAGCAGGACTTGGGTCCTGCACTAATAGTGCCCCCATTGTAATGGGACAAAGGCAGTGCAGAAGATGCCTATGAATTAATACTGGAGGAGTGGTGCCTTCTATACCCCTTTCAACTGATCACATGGTAAAAACCATTACAAAATTACATATTAAAATACAGACAGTTTTCAAATGAAATACCTTTAAACCCACAGAATAAAAACTGTGCTTGCTCTTTTAGAGTTAAGGAACACTTAGCGTGTCTTCCCTTGATCTGTCACAGACTTCAAAGGCACTGCAATTTAAGAAAAATCGAATACTGAAGTACTTCAAATGAATACAAATTAAAGGAATGCAAATTTAAATGGTATTTAAAGACCATGTGTTTATTTAAGAAGATGATGAAATGCTCAGTTTGGAAATAAGTAACTTGCTATAAAAGTAGTAAGCTCTTGTTTTCCTGCTTACCTTGGGGAAAATGCAGGGCTCGTTTCTTCTCAGACTTTTCTGAGAGCTAGAAAGAGGTCCTGTTACTTCCAAATGCTTTTGTTCTTCTGTCCCTCTGTCACATGGCTTTCCTTTTATATTTGCAACACACAAAAGTTAGGGCTGTTGTTTAAGCCAGGCGGGGGGGGTGGGGGAGAGATGGGGGGGTGTAAAAAAGAGAGAGAGAGAGAGAGAGAGAGAGAGAGAGAGAGAGAGAGAGAGAGAGAGAGCAAGGGAGGGAGAGAATGAATGTCAAATGGAAAAGTGCCATTGCAGTCATATATCAATCAGGCTCACGGCAGCAGCAGCTCCCTGGCAAATGGAAACTCTACAGAAACGGGAAAGCTCTCATTATCAAGAGAAATCGCTCTACACTATTCTAGCACTCTTTCTGCAGGAGCATCTTATTGCAGAACCCACCAAAAAGAAGAAAAAGAAAAGAATATGATTCTTTTAAAATATGTAATCATATATATGTGAAAAAGAAACTTTACTTTTTAAGTGTGTGCACCGAAAGATGCTCATTCTGTACAATTTAAGACACATTTTAAAAAGTAAGAAGTGGAGGAGAGAGTGCTATTTCAGCTTCTGAATGGGATGGAATTGGAATTCTAAGAAGACAAGAAGAAATTGGAACCAGAGGCACTTTTCAGGCAATTAATGTATATTTAAGTAGCTGCAGAACTCTGACCTATATTGTCAAGATCTATGTAGGTGGTGGAGATATTTTTATTTAGCAATGACTGTGCATCCACTATGCAAGCTTCTTATGTGACTACTTTTATATAATCATCACCTGAATGAGTTGAAAAAAGACATGGTTGGAGATATATAGCCAGAATAACCAGAATCCTTGTGCACATTACATATAATTAATATTAAGTGATTTCTTGGAATTAAATTTCAAAGATTTGTGGTCTGTCTGCAGAGGTACTGCTTAATCTGGGGTATGTGAACTTTTAAAAAATGATAACTGCATGTTTACATAATGGGCTTCTCTTGTAATCCTATGCATTTTATTTTATACATTTAAAATGTTATTCTGAGAAGGGGTTTATAAGCTTCACCAAAATGCCAAAGGGCTCCATGGCACAAAAAAGGTTAACCCCTGCTCTGGGATTCTGCTTCATTAGACATTTAACCAATATCATCATCTGTCATGCTGAGATTTTTAATCTTTTTTGTGGCATGGCTCCTTTGAAAGTGTGGTTGATGCTACAGATTACTTTGGTTTGTCACCTACATTCATAATTTAAGGAAATACTAAACTTTAGTTAGAGGTTAATGGGAAAAACAGATGTATTTTTTTCCCTATCCAAGTTCACAGCTTTCTTTAAATCTGTCCATATGTCCCTGATCTAGTATCTGATCTAGATACTATATAGCTATGGACATATAGGCAAAGTCCTAAAATCAGCACCCCAACTGATCAACAGAAAAATGCCTTGCTTTAACAAATATATGCTGAGTGTCTTGTTAGGCACAAAGAAATAGAATGAACATCCCCATCTCACCAAGATGTTTGCAATCTGGTTGGAAAAATGACACACAGCCTACCTACATGTAAACATGCAGAGAAAGTTGAAAATTATGTATTCAACTGGTATTTACGATGTGACTGAAACCCTTCAGTTCTTAGAATTACCCCTCCATTCTTTTAGTAAATAAAATGGCACTTCTTTACGTCTTGTTATTTTTGAAATTAATTGTTTTTATTATACAATAATTTATTTCAATCCACATGCTTGAAAGGTATATATATATATATATATATATATATATATATATATATATATATAGTTATATACATGTTTATATAAAGGTTATACATGTGTATATACACATACATGCAAATATATTGATATCCATATATATTACATGTGTATCTATATCATATCTAATTACATTGTTTGAATATAGAATTAAATATTGATACAATATACCCACCAGTGGTCACATATACACTTACTGATGCTTATTGTTTATTTTTACTGAATTGTTTTTATGTTGGATGGAAAGAATCTCAGAGTGAGGTCTACTTATTAGCACTTATGAAAGATGGAATTCTTAGTGTGAAGATTACATCTTTTAGGGAATAGTGAAGTTTTGTGGCAAGAACCTGATGGAAAAATTCTTTCTCAGTGCTTTTTTTTTTTAAAGTGTGTGTATTGGGGACCCGACTGATTTCAATGTTATAGGCAACTCTCCATGAAAGTTCCCTCCACAATTATAAATTAGCAACAACTTTGCAATTTACAGATTTATAGAGTTGCCTGGGATACTGAGAGATTAAGGTCACACAGCTTGCGTCCACCAGCTGCAGTATTTGAACCCAGGTTTTTCTGAGTACAAAGCTAGCCCCTTTGTCTGCAGCATCAAGCTGCCTTTACAAAGTACCATTTAGCCTCCATTTATTAAAACACCTGTTACTGTAAGTAACTGTTGTCCAACATTGATAATGGTCATGTGGTCCCTTTTTCATAGGGTCACCCATCCTTCCAAGAAAACTTAGACATTCTACAAAAGACTTCTTTTTTTTTTTTAAGGCTTTGAACTTTATTATGTTGCCTAAAGGAGCATCCCCTGGACCATCCAGTCTGGTGGGATTGCACTGGTTAGTCACGAACTGCATCTGCTGATTGGATGGATAGAGTCCTAGGTTCAAAGTCTTTAAAGGAAACTTGGCACTTGATAAAGGATATTGGCTAAATGTCTAATGAAGCAGATCAAAAATCAGATGGAAACTGGGCCTTAAAACAGAGTATTCAGAAGGAAATGACTTGTCGTTGAGTAAGCATCGTGGAAACAATGAATGCACTCTCTGGCTTGACTTTTAAGATCTTATTTAGTAGGAGGATAAACTGATTGGACATTGCCACTGTCAAATGTCCAGACTTAATTTCCATTAAAAGGCAGTGCGGTACAATGGATAGAGCCAGGACTTTCATGTCAGTGTTTAAATCCTATCCTTGACATGGATTAGCTATATCACTATGGGCAAGTTACTTTAAATCCCTTTACCTCAAGGCACTTCTCTAAGATCTCTCTACTAAATTATCAGTTTTTGACCTCTGCAGCATTTGGCTTTGTTGATCACTCTGAACATTCTCTCTTCTCTGTATTTTTGTAATGCTGCTCTTTCCTCGTTCTCTACTATCTGAATGCTCCTTCTCAGTCTCTTTTTTCTGGCTTTTTGTCTGCCCACCGACTGTGGGCAGAGCTATTTGACTCTGCCCTAGGCTTTCTTCTTTTCTGTCTCTACATTATCTGTCTTGGTGACTTTATCAGTTATCCAGGGTTTAATTATTCTCTCCATACAGATAAGATTTAGAGATTTCTATATCCACCCTAGTGTGTCTCCTGAGCTCCAGTCTATATCACTGACTGCTTATTAGAGATTTCAAATTGTATATACCAAAGACACCTTGAAGTCAGCATGTCCAAAACAGAACTGAATATCACTCCACCCCTTAACTCAGCCCTCCTCAGAATTTCTCTATTTCTGTCAAGGACATTTTACCAGGTTCCAAGATTAGTAACCCAGGTTTTAACCTCAATTCAATGTCTATCCTTCCACATATCCAATTAGTTGCCTAATCTTGCTGTTTGTGCCTCCTCCACAACATCTCTCCCACCTGTTTTTCCCTCCGCTCACACAGTCACCACCTTTGCTCCAGACCTGCTCATCTCTTACCTGAACTATTGCAATGGTTTCCTAATCGGTCTTGATACCATAAGCCTCTTCTCAAGCCAGTGCTCCACACAACCGTCAAAGAAATTTTCCTTCATCTCAGGTCTTGCTATGTCACCTCCCCCACCTTCAATAAGTTCCAATAGATCCCCACTGCATTTTGGATAAAATATAGATTTCTTTGTTTGGCTTTTAAAGCCCTTAACAACCTGGACCCAACCTATCTTTCCATTCTTCTTATACTTTGTTGTTCAGTCATTTCAGTTGTGTCTGACTCTTTGCAACCCCATTTGGAGTTGTCTTGGCAAAGATACTGCATTGGTTTGCCATTTCCTTCTCCAGCTCATTTTACAGATGAAGAAACTGAGGCAAACAGGGTTAAGTGACTTTCCCAGGGTCTCACACCTTTACAAGGGTCTGAGGCCAGATTTGAACTCAGGTTTTCCTTACTCCAGGGCATGTGATTCTATCCATTGCCCCACCCACCTGCCTGCTGAGCATACAGAGGTTGCAATGATATGTTTTCCATCTGCCACAGAAAAAAAAAAGAAAAAAAAAGTCAGTTCCTTATTCTACACCATCTTTCTTCCCTTGATTCTCAGTCAGCTAATATTCTCCATTGGTGGAAAGAGAGAGGAAGAAGGGCACTTAATTCTCATGAGCAATGGTCTGGCTTCTCTACTCCCACAGGAATAGGTTCTTCAGGGAAAAAAAAGCTTTAAGGAATGTGTAGAAATGACAAACACTTGTGCATTTGGCAACATGCAAGCATTTGGCCTGTGAGAACAGGCTCACTCCTGAACGTGATCCCAGCAGTTCCTTCTATTATTCAGTTGGCATGGGGAAGGGCATTATCTGCCGACACTTTGCCTTCTCCCCAGTGGACAACAGCCTGTCCATTTCTAAGTCAGTTGCAGCTAACTAGAAGAATTTTTCCAAAACAGTAACCATACTTCAAAAAAATATAATATATATATATATGTGTGTGTGTGTGTGTGTGTAGTTATACACATATATACATGTATATACATACACACATATACAGTTATCCCTTCCATATCATGGGGATTAAAGGCATGGTGCTCCTGTGTTCTGGAAAATTTGCGTAAAATTTTTTGGCCCTCTTTTCATACCAGAGAAGAAGTCTGAATTATTATGGTGTTAAGATAACATATGTTGATATTATACAATGCTATGCATATATTTTATGCATTTCTGAGTTATTAAACTTTTTTCTGAGTCATCTGCTGACCTTCATGTGTTGCCTGTAGCTTCTGCAAAACTCCCCCCAAATTCCCATTTAATTTCTTATGCTGATCCATAGTATATTGAAACTGTGATGGGGAAAGTTGTGATGTGAAGGGATAACTGTATACACACACACACACACATATATATAAACATGTACATATGTGTATATGTATGTAACTGTGG